TGCATATCGGTTGGTTTCAAACCTTTTACTTCATCCAGTTGACAAAGCCAGTTATAGTCAGTGAATGGTCGGTTGTGAATTGCAAGGGCATGACAAGTTTTAAAGAGTTTGGTCAACTTCTCTTTAGTTTCACTGTTTAGGGTAAGCAAGTATTTCACGACTGGTGTTTTACATGGGCGGTTCTTTGCAGCTACAATAGCTTTTGCCGATTTGTGATTACGTGATTTCTCGTGCAACTTTATGGACTCTAACTTAAATTGGCTATTTCCGGTGGCGAAAGTATTCTTGTGACTTACCGTCGCATCCACAGTTGCTGCCTCTTTGCAAATTGAGCAAAACATCGTGTTACTGTTAGCTTCGTAAACAAGCCATGCCCTCCCAACTGTCCAGCTGGTTTGAAATGCTCGCTGCCTTTTCTTGCCGTAACTTTTAGCACTTTCCAAATGATCTTCCTTGGTTTTAACTTTTTTGGGTGGTGGAGGCTCGCAACCTTCAACAAATTTCCACATATTTGTCTGCATTCTGTTTTCACATCTAGGCGAAAAGTATGTTCGAAAAGCGAAAACATGTGTTTCGAAACCATCCCGCACGGAAGTCTGGGGGAGAGTCACGTGGCAATTCCAAAATGGCGCCTTGAATGTGGATCGCTCGTGAAAACACCCGGGTGAAAACGGCTCGGAATTTCCACTTCAAAACTAAAAATTTACTAAAATGGACGATGTTAGAGTCCAGGCAAAAAACGAAGAGAAAGGTAGTCCGATTAAACTACATATTGGGTTTTATTTTTAACTTTGTACTTCTCATAATTTACATTGCATTACAGCTTTTCGAGATTGTACATGTAGTCGCCCATCGGGCGATCAAACTTAAACTTTTGGTCGCCCTAGTCAGTTTTAACTCGCCACTGGCGACCGTGCGACCGTCAATTTTTAGCCCTGTTCCCGTAGGGAATTTTACCCGAGATCACCCACTGGGAACACATGGGACAAAAATTCGAAGAGCGCCAAAAATACTCTTATGTATTTTATTGTGATAGTCGTCCGTTACATACCGCTTTTTGTTGCTATGACAATTTTAACTCTCTACATAAGCCACTGGACAATTGCATGGAGCTTCACTGATACAGTGGCATTTGTTAATTCGGCCATCAACCCATTTTTATACTGTTGGCGTGTCCGAGAGCTTCGGACGGCAGTCATTAAGATGGCGAAGAGGATTCTGTGTTAACAGACTGGGGAGAATTCATCAGTTTAATACCACAGATGAGAAGGGTTTCCTCAAAAGAAAAGCCTGAACACCTCTTAAAAAACTTAATTTGCACCATAATTTCACCACCAGCCGACTGCTAATAAAATGAGCTGCAACATATCGCTTTGGTAGCTTCAAAATGTTCACATCAAACATCAAAAAGAATGGATGGGCATAGCTGGGTAGGTTAAACACGGATTTAATTCGCTAAATTGTAGATTTGCATTTACAAGTTGAGCTTTGAGTTGTTGGGTCGGGAGAAGAAAATATGCATCATGCTAAGGAAAACCTTAAGGGTTCTTGCGTCCAGAAAAGATTGGATCCCAAGAAATTCATCCCGGGTGCCATCCTCCCGTAAAATTGCAGGGAAAAAGTTGTACAATTGCGAACAACTATTAGAACAACTATAGTACTCTTACTGAACGTCTACTCAGTTTCTTAAAATTCATCTTGTACATGGCAATAGAAATATCACTCGAGAAAGACTGCAGCGAAAAGATTTCACTCGAAAGGAGTTTGTTAACCTCTTTTTTTTTTATTTACAAGCTGAATGCGTGATGCAAATCTAATATTCATGAT